TCGAGTCCATCACGGAGGATTGGAGTCCAGAGCACGGCAGCGGCCTAGTGGTCCAGCCCTCGAGCCTCGAGGCCAGCGTGCTGTAAAGGTTCCGTGGCTTCGTTGTGGCGGCTTTGGGGATTCGGGGACTCCACGCAGGTGCGTTGCAGGATGACAGACTTGATGTCTACATCTGGAAACGCTGTTTGCATGGATAGAGGCCGGGGTTCGTGATAGATAGTATCTCAATCCCAATAATCACGCATTTGGTCTCTTCGTCAGAGGAGCTGTAGGTTAAAATAAGATGAGGCGAACAAGGAAGGAAGGAACAGCAGGTAGGCGGCGGGTCAAGGATGAAGCAAAGTTCCATACTTGATGCGGCGACGATGTGAAAAATGGAATCCTCGGTCCTGTACCTCTGTCTCTCCGAATAACACTACAATAGACCCGTCGTCTGAAGACGGTGACGACGAATGGCCGCAAAAGATATACCCTGCTCGCTCCATTCACAGCAGGAGCCCAGGAATTTAGACGCTGTCACAGTTCGTTACCATTTTCAAAATTTCCTAATGGGTAACGGCGGCGCCAAAAGTAAAAGTAAAATCAGATGAAAAACGCTTGGGGCATGCTTCGGGGTTCCCTTATAAGGCAAGCCCGATGGGTTTTGAATCTGATTCGCTGATGGTTTTGGCGCCGCCACTACTCATATGGAAATTTTGAAAATGGTAGCCAATTGAATGCGCCTATCAATTCCTGGACTTCCGCTGTGATTGCTCCTACGTCGTCCTGGCTTTTGTGCGGATCTTGGTTTTGCAAAAATAGACCCACATACCGTGCGGGCCAAGACCGGCGCATCAAGGCCATGACGCACGCCCGCCTGATCTGCTGCTCAGACCAAGAAAAGTACACCTTGCTTGAGGCGCGCGGGCTTGAGCAGGCGCTTGCCCCCGCTGAAATGTGCTTGATAAGCCGGAGCACAGAAAAGACAGTGATCAGCCGAGGTGTTGGGAAGCCGCAGTCGAAGGGCGGCGTCCAATAGCTTTGAGGAGCCCAATACCAGCAGCAAGTAGCCATTCCCGATGGGCTCTGGCTGGAGCAGGCAACGACACGAATATCGGCCGGCTGACCTACAAGCGAGCCACCACACAGTGTGCCGTCAGTCTGAGATTATGAGCAAGGCATTGCGCAGATCTATTGGAGACCATTGCTGAAGCGGGTGTGTAAGTGAGGCTAGGAGTATGAACGGGCATATAACTGCACTCTTTATACCCGCAGACCTAAACTAGCCTCCAAGTCTCACCACACGCCACGGAAAATGAAATATGACGGAAGAATGGCGTGAAATCGCGAAAGCGGTCCTGGACTGTCAGATTCAGCATTTTCTCAGGACGAGTTGACCTCGACGCGTACCAGTACTTACGTTGCCAGTCGCAGATTCTCGCTTATGGATGGATTGAAAGGGGTCGAGGACCAAAGGTTGCATCGAAAGCAAGCGATCTGTCCGTAGTAACCGGAATCATGCAGCGTCGCGTCATACCACGACAGTCGCAGCGTGTTTTGAACCGGAGCTACGCCTGAGGCCCCTAGAAGGGATCACAGATTGGGTGTGCGTGCGCCGAGAGTCGGTGTCGGTGTCGTAGTAGACAGTCGTACAGTCATTGACTCGGAAAACCAGGAGAAGGCGTGGGCATCGCTCGGCGCTGTAGGTTAAGGTGCCCGCAAGATTTGCCTTGAAATGCAGAAGTCTGAGAAGACATAAGTCGCGCTAGAACACTCACCGTGACAAGACGGCCGCTGAGAACGTGAATCGCGTCTCGAGAAATCGTGCATTGAGGCGCGGTAAGTAGTTTAGGCCTGAATGCAGCCAGCAGCGAAGTGTCGAATGTAAAGCTGCATGAGAACCGAGGGATGCAATCCCAATGCAATCCGCTAGCGGAGGTGGTGGTTTGATGAAAGGGTGATTGATGACGTGATAGGGACGCGGCTGCAATACTGTGTCCAACGAATTTAGTCTTGTGGAGGCTCGGGGAACGTCTGCAGGGCACTGAAACAGTTGACACTTGGGGACTTCGAAGAGCAACGCACCTCCAGCCGTCAGAATATCATACTTAACAGCCATTGTCGTGAAGACTCAAGAGATTCCGCGTCTTTGCGGTCGAAGAATGAAAGAGTACTACTAACCTCGGATGCGATCAAAAGAGTGTAATCTTGAATGTCGTCCGGCCCAAGTTCGGTCTGTGTATCGAAGTGAGTCCCATGGACATCGTTTAAATATTTTAGTCGCCTTTCCACGGTTCGATTCCGTGCCGAGGTGCTTCCACAGTGGAGAGTTTGTTTATTTTTGTTGATTGGAGTGACAACACTCTACTGTACCTTCTAGCGCTCATCAGCACCAGCGAGCCGCGATTTGATTCCGCAGGGAGTGAATCAAAAATGATTTGTTGGAACAATTTTTTATGTACTTCGAAGTTCAAGTCAGTCTTGCCCCTTTCCGAAATTCTCTTTGCTATGGGGCACGGCAATTCACAGCAAATCGGACTGGACATATGCCACCTGCCGTTCGTTTACTTATCACGCCCAGACTTGGATGCTGAGATCTGACTCGGAATGGCAGTGAATATTCGTCCCTGGTCTCGCTTCCAAGTTCCGTCATCCGTAATCTAGATTCCTTCATGTAGCGCTCATCTGGGAGCCGCGGTTCGATTCCGCAGCCAGACGTGGACGAATAGGCTGGCGCGAACAGTTTTCTTAATGTAAGTACCTTTCAGTCTTAGATCTAGAGTAAATACATGCAACCTGCCGCCCATGCCGCGAGACCTTGGATGCTGAATACCGGTCGTCCCTGATCTCACTTCCGGTGGGCGTAATCTGAAATTGCAGTTCCCTGAAGTAACCTGCCAGTAGCTATAGGTATAGGTCCCTTGCTCATCTGGAGTCTGGACCAGCGCGCGGCGGTTCGATTCCGCAGCAGGGGGTGGAGGACTCGTAGAAGTTTTATAGAAACGTGATACGTAAATGAGAGGATCCTAAAAGGACTCGTTCAGGTAGTGGCGGCACCCTCGTTCGCCAAGGTAATCGTCCAAGATGCAACCGGACGGCGGTTCGATTCCGCGACCTGCTATACACGGATAGGCGATTATTTTTCCTAAGTCTTTCACCGTTGATTAACGTTGAATACCCGTGCGCGTTGAGTTGAAAACTGATCATAACTTTAAACTTGGCTATCCTGCATCACTGCTGTAAATAGATATGAAAATAAGTCCATCCCCCTTCGTATTTTTCACCCAGTCGTGTCCCCAGAATTATTCAAGAGCGTCTGGACCCCGAGCCCGAAGCCACGGGACTCTGCGCCGTCGGCCCACTGATGACCTTGCCACTTACGCTGCCGCTGTTGCTGCTCCCTTTGGTCAACCCCCATCCGCGCTGAGCGGGATACTTCTTTTGGGCGGGGCGTAGGATCTACGTGCAATGAATCATCCCGAATGGTTGTGAGAGAAGGGATGCACATACCTGGAACGTGCAAAGGAGGGATTCATCTACGCTCATAATACCCTTGGTGGCGAGTCAGCGCGAGCCCAGATACCAACGGAGAGACGTACCCCAGAGTTATCAAACTCCCCACCATAATTCGGCGCAGAGAATATCGTGACGAGGTGTCGTTTGGCGAAGAATTCGTATCCGTCTTCGACGACTTGATGGCCTCGACAAATGAGATCAAGGTCGTGGCGTTGGAGGAATTGCGCGACGACGTCAGGGCCGAAGGTGAATGAGATCCCGCGGTCGTTTTCAGCCCATCCGGTCACCTCTGGGTCGGGGTCGGACCTTCCAGTGCAAGGTTCAGTTCAAGGGTGGTTGACGACGACGACGACACAGCACACACCAAAGTAAATCCGAGAGCAATCCCACATCGGGGATATCCGTCGGTCGTGCGACTCTCCTGAGCTGGTCCATGGACTTGAAATCGGGGCTCAACCCGCCATGCATGCAGATGATCTTGTCGTCGATGACGGCTGCGATGGGGAGGCAGTTGAAGCAGTCGATGAAGGTGCGCCAGAGTTTTACGTTGTACCGGCGTTTACCTGCATCGTACGTATGTTTTTAGTGCTGATGACGAGGAGAGAGACGCACATTCGTCGTAAAACCCGTAGATTCGATTGATAGATGCGGTTTCGTGATTCCCGCGGAGGAGGAAGAAGTTTTCTGGGTACTGAGAGAATATGAGTAGGATTTAGAGACCCCCAGGATACGGAGACGTACCTTGATTTTGTACGCCAATAAAAGACAGATCGTCTCGATGGATTGCTTCCCGCGATCCACATAGTCGCCCAAAAACAAATAATTGGCCTCGGGAGGGAAGGCCCCGTATTCGAATAGTCGGAGGAGGTCGTAATATTGCCCGTGTATGTCCCCTGTTTGGTCATCATCATCAGTAGAAGCACAGGAGGCAGCGGCGGCGACGCACCGCAGACTTTGATTGGCGCCTCGAGCTCGAGAAGTGTTGGCTGGCTGAGGAATATCTCGCGCGAGGCGGTGCAGAGGTAGGTGATCTCGTTTTCCAATAAATTTACCAGCTTGCCGGGGCGGTTGCCGCGCGCTGCCAGGCATAGTGTGAGCTCTCTATCTATGTGCAGAGTGTGTAACTATGACAGAAAACGCAAACAGAAAACGCCCGGAAACATCCCCCGCATAGAATCTACCGATACGCCAACGCTGAATCTACGGATGTACCTTGGAGGAGTCGGTCGATGACCGAGTCGACGTCAACGGGTGGAGGGGCTTTGGGAGCCATCTGCGGAACAAAGGGTTAGTTTTCGTAAAAGGGTAGCTCGGGACCGCACTTGCGTTTCGTGAGGGGTGGTGGTGGAAGGAAAGAGGGACGGAGATGACTCACTCCCCGATATGACTCGACTTGGTTTTGTTTTCGTTGATTGATTGATGTGGGTTGCCGGGGCGACCAAGCTGGGCGAGATAATACATCGATGCCAGTTTCCTTGTGATGATCACCCTAATCATCTGTCAACTCCCTCTTAGCTCAGTTGGTAGAGCGCGTCACTAGTACTCTTTCATCTCAGGTTCTTATGACGAGGTCAGTCGTTCAAATCGGCTAGCGGGAATTCTATTTGCTGCTGCTGCTGGTTACTGTGAATTTTATTCCACTACAGATGCGCCATAATGGAGTCGAGTCCAGCCCTACCCCCTCGTGTCTGCCAAGTTCTGAGCACCTCAAAAGCATTGATGACGGGTCAGTCGTTCGAATCGGCTAGAGGGTATTCAGCCTCGGCGGGACATTTTTATTTCTTCCCCTGGCCCGAGTGCAAACTATGCCGCGCTGGTCTTGGCCGGCCACCCGGACTGTGCTGCGGTGCCAAGGCCCAGAGATCTTGGAAGGCTTGGATTTACTTGGAGAACGTAATGATTTGATCCGGTTCACTCTTCGTTTTCTCTCTCTTCCTACCCGCCACCATGCTGGCCACCGTCGCTCTTTTACTCCTCCCCGCTCTCTCCGCACACGCACATCTACCTACATCCCACCACCACGAACACTTCTCGCGACACGCCCTCCCTGAGCACTGGGCTCAACCTCGAGACCACGTCGCCCACGCGCTCTTCGCCAGGGACGACTTTCCCCAAGTCGGTTCAGCCGGTACGCTAGCCTTCCCATCCAATCTCACTACGCACTTCACGACAAACCCCTCCAATAGCATGGCTGGCCGCTCTCCCGCCCTTCACCGCTCAGGGGTCCCAAACTCCCGACGTCACCAAGCTCCCTCAGGGCTGGGTCGACGCCTACAACGCTGCCAAGAGCGCTGGTCTCATCCCCAATATCCCGCAGAGCACTGGAGGCGGGGCGTACCCGACTGGTGTAGACCCGATGAGCTCGACTGTGTGCAGCTCGTACGTCGGGTGCCGGGCGGATGGGGATGTCTTTAACGCTCCCGATGGAACGCTGGCGCTGAATTTCGATGACGGGTGCGTGAACCTTTGTCTTTCATTCAATCCGTGCGTCCCTGACGGCGATGTTCTAGTCCGACAGAGGTGAGTTTTGTCTTGGCAATTTGATCTTTTGCTCAGGGCTCTTGTGACAGGTCACTGGCGAGCTCCTCGATTTCCTCAAGACCAACAACGAAGTGGCCACACACTTTGTCATCGGGTATAGCATCCAGGGCAACGTCTCGGCCTGGCAAATGCTCCTGGATTCAGGGCACGACCTCGCTTGCCACACGTACGTTCTTTATTCGCTACTCGCTACAGCCGAATCAACTTCTCCTCTCAGATGGTCGCACCAACAACTAACCACGCTCACCGACATGGCCATCGTCTCCGAACTCGGCTGGAGCATGAACATCATCTACCTGTCTACGAACGGTCGTATCCCGCGGTACTGGCGCCCTCCCACTGGCGATGCCGACAACCGCGTGCGTGCGATCGCCAAGTACGTGTTTGGGATGGAGATGATGGTCTGGAACCACGATACAGAGGATTGGTCGCTCATGCAGACTCCCGCGGTGACGACGCAGGCTGAAATCGCTGGTAATATGACGACTTGGTTGAATGGTGCGTGTCCTTTTCGAATCCTACCCACACATGAAATAATTTATTCCCGCACAGGCCCAAAATCTCCCGGCCTCATGATCCTCGAACACGAACTCTCCACCCTCTCCGTCGGCTCCTTCAAAGCCGCGTACCCACTCATGAAATCCGCCGGCTGGAAAACAGGCTCCGCCGCCCGCCTCGTCAACGCTCAAGGCGCGTACCTCAACGTTGACGGACCGAATGGGAGCGTCACGCCTGCTGAGTTGCAAGATTATGTCAGTGAGGGACCGGCGGCTGCTTCCGGGTCGGCGAGTGGGGCTGCCAAGGTTTCGGGGTCGAGTGGGAGTAAGGCTTCTGCGTCTGCGGCGAAGAGCGGGGCGAGTGCTGCGCCGTCGAGTAGTGGAGGTGTGGCGTTGCGTTTGCCTGCGCTGACTGCCGTTGTCCTCGGTGCGCTTGGTGTTGTTGTGTGCGTGCTGTAGGGGTGGTTTGGTTCTTGGATTCGGACATGGATGCGGATACAGACACCTAGATGAATTGACAGACAATTTCCTCTTGATACTTACATACTAATTCTCACTCGTTGCCACTGTCTTTTTGCGCGGTTCTTTCTTCCTGATGCTTTTTCGCGAGGGAGGAGGACTGGCGTGGAATCCGTTAACTGAACTTCAACTGTGAGCGATCGTGCCAGGTATTCTCTGTGCACTGAGCAGATATGGGTAGTTTCGTGACTTTCTCTGCGCGAGTCGTGGGTTCGATTCCCCTCCAAATCATGTGGTTGTGTAAACTGCCAAGATCTTTTTGGGCAGCAGAGTAGATACATACCACAGGTTACGCGTCATGGGTATCTATGGAGTTTTTTCAACCTCAGCGGTAGTCTCTGATTCACGGCCGATGTAGCCTGCAGTTCAACTTGGAAGCATGGTCATTATACCGTCGCATCTGAAGTCCCCGAAGGTTCGATTCCTCTCGGTGACTCTCAAAGCAACCCATCCCTTTTCGTTCTATTGACTACTTACGTTTCAAATAGCACCTATACCACTCCCTCGCCGCCCTCTTGACGCGTTTTCTGTGTACGCGACAGTTGTGGGGGGTTGCGTCCCTGGTGCCTCACAGTTGTGGGTTCGATTCCCCCCGAAACCTCGCGCGCGTTGCCGGTCCTTGTTTTTTTTTTTTGGTTTTGTCAGGCAGTACATACATCTCACATGTACTCGGATCCTTCACTGTTCACTGTGGTATCGAAGCATCGTCAGTTTGTTAGCGTCCTCGTAGGTTCGACTCCCCGTGGCGGCTCTGGCCAGGAACACCATGTTTTTATTTTCCTCGCGAGGACGATTTAATCATCTTTGCCGCTCTTGCAGCCTTTCTTGCCAGACGAATTTGGATGTAATGGCAGTCAAAAAATTGAAACAAAGACTTTTTGGCGCGATTTGTACGTATCAGGGCGTACATGCACGTTGCGCCTCTGAAATCAAGTTTCAATGACCGACTTCGACATCCTTCTCCTCCAGAGCTTTCCTCGTTCCTCGGACAAGAGCCAGGGTAGGAACTCGATTCTAGATGAAGTTGAGTGCTTTGAACTTCACTCATCACGATTGGCCCATGTTGCTGGTATCGGAATGACATTGACTCTCTCTTTGAATCTATAGACAAAGTCACTGCATATTTGAAACAAAAAACCATCGATTTTGATTACTATTCCCGTGGCATGCACTCGAGTCGAACAAGCGATGGGGTCGAACTCGTGATCAAAGACTTTCTAGCGGGAAGCGTCGAATGGACCTCGTTTGGAGGGATGCTTCCGAATGGATAGAACAAATTCAACATGACGAAGAAGCCCGAAGCTCAAAAACTGTGGAAGAATGGAATCAACTCAGTACCGACCAGAAGCCAACATAAGTATTATACCGACCGCTGAATTCAAAACCCATTAAGCTGATTCACAGCGTCCATCCCATCCCCGAGGTTCACGAAATCCAACAGCACGTAAGTCGGGTTGGCGTTCCGCTGGCTGAGAGGTACACAGCCCTGGGCGTCTGCTACGATCCTATACATTCAGGTCAGGTCAGGATAACAAGAGAGAAATGTAAGCTCGACACGCACGATGCAACGCTATTCGTCGTCGGCGCCTGTCCGGGATCACTGATGAGTATCCCGAGGATGTCGATGTCGAGAAAGTGGTTGAGGAGGTAGAGGTGGTCTGCGGGAGATCCTGAGATGCGGTTGACGGAGCATGGGAAGGAGGCGTTCGTCGAGTCGAAGGGGGGTTCCCAGATCTGTTGTCATTATGAAATTGATACTGAGGCAAGACAGAATGACTCCGCACCATGGTGAATTCAGGGAGGATGTAAGGGACAGCGGCGCCGTCGGTTCCATCTGCGCCTGCGTCGAGGAAGATGACGACGCGAGTGCCGGCGGAGAGCATGCTGCCTAGTGTGGGCCATGCGTCGGCCGGCATGGGGTTCTGCGGAGGTGTGTAGGCGACGGCAGAGATGCCTGGATAGCCTTGTTAGTAGTGCATAACACGAGAATAATGATGCCACGTACCAGATTGCTCGAATACAGGTTGCCAGATGTCTGGAATCGACAATCCCTCGGGGTTAGTGAAGAGGCACGTAACGATTTCATTTGGATTCGCTTCGAGCCAGGCCATGAGGGTTTGCAGATATGCGAGAACGGTGCCTCCATCGAAGAGGGCGCAGCCTGAGTTTGTCTCATCAAGAAGAAGAGAAGCAAAACAGGAGACAACACGCACTGGTGTGACAAAAGTGAATCACTCCGTCGTTGAGGTGGGACTGAGCTTGAAGGAAACGGACTCCGAGGTCCAATTGTGCTGTGATATTAACCTGTTGGTCCGCAGCAACTACGAGAAGTTAGAGACTTGTTATGATGGCAATTTGGGAAACGTACGAGCGAGCGCGTCCTCGCTGAACGCGAACGAGTCGTGCGCGCCCAGGAAGGTAACGTTTCCATAACTGCGATCGCACAGCGCTGCGTTGCCATTGCACACGGTCTGCCTGTTTACGATTCAGTGTCTCGTGGGACCCAAAGTACATTGGCTGCGCACCCGAAAGCCAGCGGGAGGAGTGGTAGGAGGAGGAGAGCAATGTGGGAGATCATGGCCAGAGGAGACGACGACACACGTTGCTTTGACTTCTGTGCTTTATATTCGCGTGTTGTCGGGCAGTGGGAGTAGCTGTTGCCGTGTCATGGGGACGCTGGCTGTGAATCTATCACGTTGAGAAGTCTTGGAATAGCACAAATGAGGAGTTATTTTGGTGGCTCATCGACGAAGGACACCCTCTTTGGGGGGGGAGGGCCTGTCAGATACGCTCTGGATGGGCAGTGGCACGACTCGTCGAGCTTGACAAGAAAAGAAGGGAGATGCTCCATGGAGATCATCCGTGAGTGAGGGCAGAGAACAAGCGAGGGGACAGGTGAGTAGAGAATGGAGGCTGGGAATCCACGCATGGGACAGGGTCTCATCTTCTGCCCAATGGCAAGCCTTAAGAGGCACGATGGTCAGAAGCAAGCGGTGATCAAACTTTGATCCGAATTCTTGTCTTTTGCCGTCATGTCCGAC